AAATGTCAAATAATATCAGTATTTAAGATGCTTGCAATCTAATAGAGCATTTTGAAGAAATAAATCTACAAGCTTAATAGCATTTGGTTTATAGGTTATTAAGGCTTCGAAAGCTCAAAGAATGATTTATGATTGAAGGAATCAACACAAACTGTATGATGAAATGTGATGCGTGCTAGAAAATTCATGGGGGTAAGGTGATTTAACGTCTTAGTGTTGCATATAAATTTAGCACACATCCAGGTAATTAAAGGGGCGGGTAGGAAAAAGATCATAGGGCAGCTTAGCTCAGTGAGAACTGTTCACTATGAATTTGTAAGTACAAATACAAATTATTGTCCCAGGGGCGAGAAAAAACTACATAGTGCCTTGATTTATGATATTTATTGCACAACAGTTTGGAGGGATTGCAGTTGAGAACGGTTACTGGAACTTTAGTACATCATCTTCAAGGTGCGTCGCTTCATAGTGTTCATGACGATGTGGTGTTTCGTCGGGTGCTTCATTACTATGCAACATATGCAGGGATTTCACAATGCATGTTGTGATTTTGCAAGGGGTTTAATTGCAATGAGTATGGAGGCCGACAACGGTCGACGATCGACGATCAATGGTTGGTGATGGTCGATGGCTGTAAGAGCGAGTGTCGTTTGTTGGACTTTTGATGTCAAACAATGAACCTCAGCTTCTTCTCTTCCAAGCCCTAGTCGTTCTCTAGTTCCAAGTCTAGGTTCTTCTTCAATAAGTGAGTGGCGCTCTATTTATAGGGTATGGGAGAGGCGTCCCTTCGAATAAGAAAAAAACCCAAACCACTCTATTAAACGGCCCGAAGAGATTCACTCGATTAGACTACATTTTGTGGACATTTATATGCTTTAATGACATGGTAATGAAGTAATCTTGAGTTATTTGGATTTGTGCTTTCAAGAAGCTCTGCATATTTAAAATCTATTTAATTTTCTAATTGAGCAATAGAAGCTTTCAAAAATTCCTTAACAATTAGATATGGACTTGATTTGACTCTTATTATACTAACATTATTGTCATTGTGTTCGTTTTGTCGAGCTGATCAATTTGACCGTAAGTTTGTTGTAATTAGAGTTTTGGATGATTTTTTATTTGAATATGGGCGTTCCTTACTCCTAAAAATGCTCTGAGATCTGCCTTTACCGTCTCGAGCTTCATGCCAAATTACAAGTTTTGCTAATGACAACATAGCAAAGTGTTTTGAGACTTTGGTTGAATTTATCGATATTATTCAATCATTGTCTTTATTTTTCACCTCATTTATCTCGATAATATGCATAAGAGATTAAATTTGGGCATATCATTTCATAATCTCGTCTTCTCCAATGAAGTAGAAAGATAAAATTTTTTAAACATAGTTACATAGTGGACCATTTCATCTGGCTCGTGCTATAGGTTCTACCCTTCACGTATTTTTACATAGTAAAAATGGCTTAACATTAGATAAATAAATAAATAGAATAGATAACAAAAATTTATATAGTTTGAAGACAATCATACACATCTTCATACCTGAAATGAGAGATCCGATCGAATTATAAAACCATCACATGTAAATTAACTCATAAATTAAAAGACCAAATTTGAATTTCAGACTTTAAACCGACTTATAATCAAAATTCAAGACAGGAATTCAATTTTGTGTTTGGTTTTAGAATCAATCATGGACTGATGCTAAAAGTCAAAGAAAATTCAAAGTTAAACTGAGCTGCTAAAATGAAACTGAAGATGGCAGTTTCTTTCATCAGTTTTGTAGCTTTTCTGCCTATTACTTTTCCGACTTCAGGTTTGATGGAGATGGTTGAATTACACACGTGCAATATCAACATGCTTTTTGGTGGAAGCTAAGGCTGCGTTGGGGATAGCGGTTCGGTGCACCGTAGTTTTGAATACGTTTGATAAAATTATGTTTAGTCTGTTTTTAAAAAAATTGTGATGGTAAGTTGTGTTTTGCAACCTGATCTGACTAAGTGATACGGTTGTTATAATACTGAATACTGCAGTCTATTTTTTTATAGAAAAAAAAAATTTTAATAGCCACTGTAACTTTTTGAACAGCAGTTTCTCTTATAACAGCTTGAGTGCTGCTTCTTTAAATAGTTAGAGTTGCCCTAAAAAGGCCCGAAGAGAAGGTGGAAAGTCATTAATTAATTTTTTAGGATCCAGAGGATGGAAAGTCATTAATTAATTTGTATGACTAATGTAACACTTTCAATTCCTATCAATTAGTGCTTAGAAATCATAATTTATTCAGGAAAAGTTCAATTTTTCTTTTTTACTATCGTCTTTTAGCAACATAATAGTTTGCAACTTAGGGGCTATTTGAGGGAGCTAGAGTTGTTTGAATAAGCAGTTGTGAAGTTGCTGCAGAGAAATTATTTTTCATAATACTGCGATTATTATTACAATTGTTTTTTTTTCTTAAATCAGGTTGCAACTTTCTAGCTTTCTTGCCAGGTCTGGTGACAAAACACAACTTTAAGATGCAGTTTTTTTAAAAAAAAACAACAAAACATAGTTTTGCCAAACAAAAAAAATTATGTTGTTGCGCCGCACAGTCACCACACTGCCATCTCAAACGCACTCTTAATTAATTTTTATAATATCATCACACTTTAATTTGGCTCCTACGATCTTGAAACAATGGCGGTTGGGTTAGGATTCTTGCCCATTCACACGGTGGTGGAGAGAGGGAGTTACGATGGTGGAGGAGAAGAGACGACTAGCCTGCGAATCACCTGCATGGTGGAAGTAATTAGTGAGTTATTCTGTTTCATTATTTGAATGTCATTAATATCAATGTGATCACTTGTAGCTTTTATTTAACAAGAATGTTTAGTGTTGGAATTATTTTAGGTCATCGGGTCCTTTACTGTTTGTGGGTTCACACAAACCGGGAGAGCCTTATATAGGGAGGGTGAATAAAGAGGAGGAATGGATTCTCCAACATTGAATTATTTGTTCCTTTTTCCGATCATTCTGCGTCAGAGCGGAGAAGATGATCTAATGAGAAAGGAGGGCGAGGGAGGTCTCGTGTGAATCACGGCTTGAGATCCCCCAAAAAAGGCACGGAGAGTGGATATTCTCTACAGTCTCTTGTCCCTCCTCTTTTATACATGTTCAAAAAAATATTATAATACAAGCCATAACATATCAATTCTTTCCACTATGTTTCGTTAAAAAGATCACGACGTATGTGTCGCACGACTCATAAATGACGATGCTGCATATGTTGATCCTTGATGTCAGTCTCGACTTTTGTGTTGTTATGGTTATGAGGATCGTTGATGCGTCGAGTCGGGCTGGTGAGTTCGATTAGTCAGTTCTTGAAGTGGAACGGGCAAACCAGTTTGGGCAGGCAGTTCACCAAATAAGTTCGGCAAGTCGGTCGACACCTAGAGTTGAGCCTCTTCTACGTAGAGAGGCCCTTGAGGCCTACAAGGCTTGTTGGATACCAGCCTAGAAAAGATGACTTTTAGTGTACATTTAGTTATATTTTATTCAATCAATAAGAAATAAACGTGGTTGTCTTTCAACACAAGAAAATTTTAGTTATTAGATTGCATCTGCGTGACACGATTGCTATCATGTAGGTGTAGAAATCAGTCATATAAGCACAATTCAATCTGTTTTGTTTTCTTTAATTATGTTGATTATGTTAGTTTAGGAAATGGCAATAGAATTTAAATTTCTTAAGAAAATAACTTAGATTATTTTAAAATTACTAAAGTTATTTGAGGTGTGTGCCATACAATTTTATATTTTTCCAATGGATTAAAGTTATGTCATTAAAGGTGATGTAAGAACCCACTATACTACTTGGTAGATCTTCCCTTGGATAAAGTGATGGGACTAAGGGCCCGTTTGCGGCAGCTTATTTAGGTGCGGCGGCGTTTTCAAAACGCCGCCTTCGTGTTTGGAACCTGCGTTCGTGCGGATTATTCCTGCCGCAGTGCGTTAATTTTTGCGAATCCTTAATAGGTTTGTGACGCGAGGTGGGGGCTGCGTCCCACATTCGGCTCATGATATTGCCCTAGTTACCCCTCTTCTCCCTCGCGCTCTCCCTCCCTGGATTCGTCCCCCGTAGAGGAGATCTGAGAGTTTCCTTTTGATTCATCCCCCGTAGAGGACATCGAAGAGTTTTCTTTCGATTCGTCCCCCGTCAATCGCAAGGTATGCTTTCCCTCACCGTCAATTTGTAAGGAATGCTTCCTCTAGAGCGATCGAACGTCGGTGGCCGTAAATAGTTCTTTGTTAATCCGCGAACGTCGTTTATTTGTATAGATCCGACCGTAAACCTTGTTTATTACTTGACTGAAGATTTCTATGTCATCGTCGTCTTCGTTGTTTTTGAACTCCAACAATGCGAGTGGATTTCTTTGCCATAAAATTACTTTCATTTTTTCTCTAGGCTTGAAGAAAATTTTGCAGCATGAAATCTTTTGTCAACAACTGTTTAGACGAATTTTGTTTCGAATATTTCTGATCCATTCGATTTTTCCTAATTTTTGCATAGCTAAGAATGTCTCTATACCCAGAGCAAGGAACAATTGTGAGCATCTGTATAGAAGGAAGGAATATTTCTTGTTTTTTCAAGTTCATTAGCTGATGTTTATGGGCTGCAAATAATGTCTCTATTAAGGATCCTGTTTCGATTTATGTTAAAAGCCTAAGTGCCAAACCTAATGCCCTGATATCATATAAAAAATAAGACGATGAAAAATGCTTGCTGCATTTAAGGATCATGGTTACACCATCAACTTTCTATTTTCTGTGGCAGTATGTATCTATGGAATTGTGTGTGTTCTATTCTTATTTTACTTCGAGCATTATTGCATATAATCTTTCACCGTTTGAGTGATTTCACAAGATGATTGGCTGAGTTTTTATTTATTTTAATTAATTTGATTTTAAAATAAAAAAGTTTAAATTTAATTATTAATTTATTTAAATAAACTTGACAGATAATTAATCGAGCTGTGTTCTAGTTGTTCGTTGAGTCCCTCTAACCATGCCCGAAGACTAGTCAAAGAGAGAAAAATGGGAGCAGAATTGATTCGAGAGAGGAGAGAGGAGACAGGAACGCCCACAATTGTCCTCTAGTTTTTCGTTAAGTGCAGTTTCCTCATGGGCTGCTCCGCACATCAGGGCATCACTGTCGGCTTCAACATGCAAAATCGCTGATAAATGGAGCATCTTGGAGTTCGTCTTGTTTGATTGTAGGGCTTTTGTCGGCGCCTCTATTTGATCATCTTTCTACGAGGTAACTTCAAAGTTCTGATCTTTATGCGACATTTTGGAAGCACTTTTCGAAATTCTTCTGTTGTATCGTCTAAGCTACATTCTGAATCAAACGCCGAAGGTGGAGTGCTAATTTGGGCTTAATAATTGATATGCATCTTCCCTGTTGTAGTTGAAAGTAGGAAGATTAGGGTTTTCGCCACTTGTGCAGAAGTGACTTTCCTCTCTTTCATGTGTCCGGCAACAATTAAACAGACAAATAAATATCTAAAACGCAATACAAAGGTGGAAATTTTTGGTTTTCAGTAGTTTTTCGTTTCTAGATTCTCATGGTTCTTGTAATCGAGTAGGAAGCATGCAAAGAGTTAGTATTTCATCCCATCAGTCCCCAGTTCACAAGCTTGGAGATACTCAGATGAGGCTATCTCCCAAATTTAGACTACAGAAGACATTACCTCCTCCATGTCCATCAGATTCCAAGTTAACAATCGAATTAGGGCCTGTAATCCCTGGTCTGCCTGATGATATCGCACTCACTTGTCTTCTCCGTCTGCCTCTCAACTTACACTCCACTTGCCGTGCTGTGTGTCGGCGGTGGCAGCATATTCTTGCAAGGAAGGAGCTTTTCTTCGCTCAAAGGAGAGCACTTGGCTTCAGCAGTCCCTTCTTATTCACCTTTGCATTCCACCGCTGTAATGGCCAGGTTCAATGGCAGGTTCTGGACCTCACTCACCTCTGTTGGCACACAATTCCGGCAATGCCATGCAGAGACCGTGTTTGCCCTCATGGAATTGGCTGTGTTGCAATTCCACATGATTCTTCTCTTTTGGTTTGTGGAGGGATTGTTTCAGATATGGACTGTCCTCTCCATTTGGTTCTTAAGTTCGAGGTTTGTAGAAATAGGTGGACTGTCATGACAAGAATGCACACCCCACGTTCATTCTTTGCTGGTGGGGTGATAGATGGAATGGTTTATGTTGCTGGGGGGTTTAGTACTGACCAATATGAGCTTGATTCTGCTGAGGTCTTTGATCCAGTTTGTGGGACCTGGCATCCTGTTGCAAGGATGCTGACCAACATGTCTTCTTATGACTCTGTTGTGCTTGGTGGCAAGCTTTATGTCACTGAAGGATGGGTCTGGCCATTCTTATCTTCTCCAAGGGGACAGGTTTATGATCCAAAGACAGATACCTGGGAGTCTATGGCTGCTGGAATGCGAGAAGGGTGGACTGGCTTAAGTGTGATTCTGGATGGTCATCTTTTTGTGATTTCTGAGCATGAAGGGATGAGAGTTAAAGTTTATGATACAGAATCTGATTCATGGGGAACTGTTGAGGGTTGTTCCGTGCCTGAGAGAATTAGAAAGCCTTTTTCTGTCAGTGCTAATGGTTGGACAATCTATGTTGTTGGACGAGGCCTTCATGTAGCTATTGGCTTTGTGCAGAGGGAAAGTTCTGTTGTATCCGTTGATAGTCTTGTGAAATCATGCTTCTCAATTCGGTGGTATGAAGTAGATGTCCCGATCGCCTTCTGCGACTTGACACCCTCCTGCACACAGGTTCTCTTTGGTTAGTCCTTGCTTTGTTATTTTTCTGCTTCTTGTTGCTTTTATGTGAAATGAATCTGATTGACATCAAGAATTGTACAGTTTCAAGTATTTCAGACATTTTGTTGTAATCTTCTGAAGAAACTTATGATTTTCACACAACTTGTAACTTTTTGTGTTATTTTCATTTCATTAAAGTTGTTTTTTATATCTTGTGTGCTTAGTTTAAACATGCTTTGTGGTTACACAGATGCTTTATTTGCTGCAATTTTGTAAATGCAAGTGTTGTGTTTCCAGCTTAGAGTTTGGATTGATTTGCTAATACAGAACCCTTTTAATGTTATTGTTTATTCTTCAACTGAATTGGTTATGGTTGCTTTTGTGTTTTAACATTTGGGTGGTTTGTGATTTGGTCGGATTGATTTAATTTTCCCTTTTATTTATTTATTTATTGTTTTTGTTTCTCTTTGCTTCCTTCAACTGGCTCGACAAAGGAGAAGAGAGGGATATTGATAGCTGAGAACCCCTCTTTTAAAGGGGTTGGGATTGTTACTGTCACTACTCTCGATGCTTTGGTAAGAATTTAGTTTTTCTTTTTCTTTGCTTGTTATTTTATTACATTTGAGAAAGATTCCAAAATTTTGCAAATTATTTTCAACTCATTTTGCTATTTTTTTTAATAGGATTTATTTTGTGTTTTGGCACTTTTCTTATTTTATTTTTCTCGATATATTCTGATAGTAGATCATTTGTATCCCCTAGCCTGTGGATGACATTTTTGACTGAATCATTGAATTTCGATGCTTTCTTTTCTGTTTGATTATTTGATTGTTCTCTATCGTATTCGTGTGTTTTACTAGTTTATTTCTTTGGATTGATAATATTTTTTACCTATGGTTTTAAAGAGATTTGATCTGGCTTTTTTTTTATGCAACGATTGGTATCAAAATCTGATCATACCTTGGAGATGTTCCCATCCAGTAGGTCAAAGTTTTCCACCTAAAAGGTCTTGCTTTCAGGCAACATCAATAGTAGAAGTTTAGAAAATTGTTCTAATTCAATTCTAACAACTATATTCTTTTATTAAGAAGTGAATCATTAATTCTGATTATTCTTATCATATGAACTTATATGAGGATTGATTTTCTGTAGGTTTGTCAAATATTGCATTGTCCTTATAGGAATTGCATAATTTGTAAGATTGTTGGGATAGTAATTGTTAAGTCGTATGACTGAGTTGTGAGGACTTCTGAGAGGCTAAACATGAACTAGCTTTGAAGAATCTTATTGCTTTGAGTTGTTTGAACTCCAATGGGCATATATACATTTTTTAAGGTGGAGTATTACAATAATTTTAATGAGAGTAAATAAACTTCATAATCTCTTATTTCTCTAGGGCTGCGGGTGATCAGTACAATATTGTTTTTCTTAGATGATTTGTTGATGTTATGACACATGAAGCTTAACCATCCATCGAAATGGAACCTATGAAACTTGAATTAGAAATACCTCTATGGTAGCCCGATAACTAAAATTTTAAACTCTAATGGGTATTATATTTTAGGAAGGTTTCATAAGTTGAAGTGCTCTACTTATGCACATTATGTTTTTTTGTTTTGAAAATATTTTACGTGAAAGCCAAAGATTGAAGTTGAAGTTGAAGTGCTCTATGGAAGGTGTATATTTTTTGTTTTGAAAACATTATAAAGCATTGAAGTTGAACCTGAAATTTTAAATATACCTCAAAAATATCTTTTTTGTTTTGAAAACATTATACATATTGAAGTTGAAGTGCTCTATCTTCATAGACAATTTTCTTAGGAAGATGTGTAGTTTATTCTTTAGCATAAAAATTGTGTATTTGAAACACTTAAAGCGCAAGCCAAAGATTGACTATCGAACAAATAAGAAATTCTTGAGATTGGGGATTTATAATGGTTTGGAATTTTCTTGTTTCAAGTTTGATCATTCTTGTCAAGAAAAAGGCAATTATTAGATATAGGACAATAGTGAGTACGTCTCAGTAGAATGTATGACAAAAAAGAATGAATATTCGTTGTTGTTATGAGCGAGAACTTTGGGCAGAGATGGTTAGCATTGCATGATATTTATTGAATTGATTTCCAGCTATTATCATTAAGGCTTCGTTTGGAGGAGAATCCACTAAGATGACAAAAGACTACACTATACCTCAATAGCAGAAGATCTGAAAAGCCGCTTCAATATATAAGCGCATGTGCCAATGCTGAAAATGAAGAAAGAAAATGCAAGCATTATAAATATATATAAGTAGGAATATCAACGCCAAAAGGCAGTTGTCAATGCTAACTCTTAATAGATGTCTTTAATAATGGATTGACTGCAACGATAAAGCATAAAGAAAACCATTAAGTATGACATACAAATAACGGTAAAGTATCTCAAGAAGATGGTTCCATGTAAGAAGAGGAGATTACATGAGTTCAGTACTTTAAGTAAATTGTTGAAGCTGCAGCTTTCAAACATTAAAGTATGACAAAGCACTAGCAGTAAGCGAATTTATCTAAAACCCACGAATTGAATATTAGCTTGCAATCAAAGTGACTAAATCCTATGGTGTACGATCATGATATCTCGAAGAAAGATCAAAAGGTGAAGCTCCTTTAAACACCATATTCGGTGAATGGAAAAAGCCGGATGCGATCTAAAATGACAAAAAATTAACATTCTTGCGAAACAACTTCAAAAGATGTTGGGGAGATGCCGTTCCACCAACGAAAGCTTTTTCACATGTCGACGATCACATCAACAAAACAAAGTTTCATCTTTTTCCTCAAATGAAGCCTAAGAGCTTTTGAGCAGCTTGGTGAGGTTGAGCATAAAACATTAGATGATAGCTCATCATATTAGCTTTCTTGGTATTGACCTTTGGAGTAGGCAGTTCTACCATAATTAGAAGAAATTATTATTTTTATAAGCTCAAAAGATAGATTAGACCACCCCAGAGATTTTATTATGAGGATTTTCCATGCTCATATATAATTACATATAGTTTGTGTTTTGCAATGCCTATTGGTGATTAAGCCATCCCTTTTCAAGAAAAAAAGGTCATTTGAAGAGAATAAAAGGGATGCCTTACTACCGTGGTAAATGAGTTGGAATATTTGTGGAAGAATGAAATTTGGGACATATTTCTAAGGCTTGTTATGATTGAAACAACGTAAAGTGAAGATAATATAATAATAAAGTATAGTTGTCTGCGAAAGTTGTAGCCACAAAGATGTGTACTTCAATTAGTTGTGATGCAAGACCTATAATTAGAATAATCTATGGCAATTTTTATAGATATATTTTGATGAAAAATCACCAGGATCCCAAGTTGCAAGAAAGAAATATTATATACCCTTTATAACTTGAAGCAATCTCCTAGGCAATGGTATATAAAGGAAGATATTTGGTATCAAAGTCATTGCCTGTTATAATTTGATGTATAAGATAATAATAGATTTTATTGCAACGTTGTGTGATTTTTTCATTCTAATCATGCTGATCAACATAATAGGAGGAGCTCTCAAAGTAGTTTATTTTGGTGCATTATTAATCGGAAGGCTTCCTATCTTCAAATTATTGTTTCTTTGTCCGCTATAATGTCTTGAGTAATAAAGCACTTATTAAAGCTATTAGTGAATTATTTAGTTGAGAGACTTGTTAAAAATTTTGGCTTGCATCACTTAGCTTAATGAATACTATTAACTTAGCCAGAGGTCAAATGTATCATGAGAAAATTAATTGTGCTGATGTTTTCCGAACCTCTTCAAAGAAGAGATTGAAATGGAAAAGTTCCAGTTTAGAAGATCCGCATCGTGCAAATCCTCCTAGCATACTTACCAATATGATTCTTATTCTCATGTTCTGGCGAGTGCCTGGACACATTTAGTTTGTACAAATATTGATGCTCTTCCAGGCCTTTTGTGAGGAGGAAGATTTAGTGATTTGAATGTTGATTTAGTTGTCCACTTTATTCCCAAATGATATTGGACTTTTGTTATAAGGAGGCATACATAAATTATAAAAAAAACGTGAAATGCATTTTGGTAATTCATATTTCAAGCCCCAACTTAAATTGCTTCACAATTGGATGAGTGAGGTGCGATCAAGAGCAGGATTGGAAGGGGATCTTTTTCCATGCATGTTGGAAAATTATGAGAATGGTGATAATTTAGCACTTTAGAATTGGGATTTTTCCTTCATCCCTTTCGAAGCATCCACCCCGCTCGCTTCCATTGCTTGTCTGTACCTCGGCGCTCAGCGCTATTTCTCACTCTGTCGCTCACTCTCTTGTAATTGACATACGCGGTCCATCTGTTTTTCCCACAAACCTTAACAATTTTTTGATGGGAGCAGTGATGATGAAAAGATGAGATAAGGGACAAAAAAAGGGTAGGAATCTGCATAATAGAAAATCAGAAAATTTTTAAGAGAAGAAAGAAAAAAATTCCTTCAAAATCTTGGGAAGAGCGAGGAAAATGCGAGGAACTGAGGAAGGGCCAGCATTCACTAATACTAGCTTGTGGGAAAAAGGACTGGAAAACTCTGCAAGTCCGCTATATCTTTAAAGGCAAGAGAAAAAAATCTTATGCATTATACTTGCATTTTTTGGATTTTCTGGTTGTAGTAAATATTGTGAGTTTACCATATTGTATTTAAATGTGCTTTTTCGTCTTATAACTTAAAACACAAGCCAAACAAAGGTTCTTCAATGTTACAGAAGGGAACATCATAAATGATTTCAGATTTAGGAAACTAATGATCTTAAAAGAATGGAAAGAGCAGAATGTTCATTTAAAGATGCTATACCTTTGGTGGCCGATCATCTGGTATCAGGATGCAGTTTCATGCTATTCAATTATTTTGCAGGAATACAAAGTTGTCTGTATATGTTGCCAAAGCAATGCATATAAAAGCAACAAAGAGAGTTGAAAGGTATTGAGCATGACAGAATTATCATGTCAGCAATTTATGTCAACTTAAAATACCTGGAGCTATATTAAGAAAGTTCTATGTAAAAATGAGGCATGTAGACTTTGATTGTGATATTCAAGATATTAAAGTGCCCCAACAAAAGAAGTATGAACTTTGTTATCCACGTCAAGCCTGTTGAAGCTAGGATCTTTTCTTACACCTCTATCTTGCGTCGCCGCTCTAAGCTTGTTTGTCAATACAAAGAATTTAAGTGGGATTTCTAATACTGAGCCTTTTCCTAGTTCTTATTTCCAGTCTCATTCTTTTCAGGACTTGTTTTCATATTTTTGTTTGCATATTTTGGTGTGAGTTGTCCTCTCTTATATGGAGTTTGTTGGTAGCTCTACACCATGGTTTGGAACACAGCCTTTCGCAAAATTCTACTTGTGTTTTCAATTGATTGATTTTCCATAACTCTAAACTTTCAATTTCTAATTTCCTATAATGTAAATTTCTACGCCATGTGGGGGCGGGCAGTTTTGAAAGGGATGAAGGTTTTGGATGGTTGAATTGTAACTTTTAAAATTTGATTCC